CCCTCAGGATGTTTTTTTAAACACAACACTTTTTTTCCTTGCAAAATATTTGGCCTCTGTTTCTTCCCCCCATAAATTTGGGGCATCACTCTATGTTGATGACTTCCTATTTCTTTGCAGGCTCTGTGCACCTATTGCAGTTTCTCTCCGCTGCGGGCCCACCGTTTCCACTTGGGCCCCCACACTGGGTTTTTAATTTTTAATACAAAACTCACCAAATTAAATTTCACTAGACGCTCTGTTATCTCCGATCATCCTTTTTATCTACTCCCGTATCCCCAACGTGATAAGTCAGGGTTTTTAGGCCTTCTCTTTGACCGCGGTTTTAACCTGGAAACCTCACATTTCCCCTTAAGGCAACTTTTTCACAGCCGCAAACCCTTTTTAAAAAACCCTTTCACTTTTCCCGGGAGCTGATCGTCGAACTCTCTTCGCCTAATTCACCCCTTTTATCGAAACTCATTAGTACCAATTTTTAAATTCCGCGGCCCTCCGCTACTCCTCACCTTAACTCTATCCATCACCAAGGCTTACGTTTGCCTTGGTGCTTTTTGCTTCCCCCCCCTGTTGAGACCTCATACAGAACAAATGTTTCCCTCCTTTTCTATTGCCGGGGTGCCCATTGCCTTCGTTACTATGACGCTCTCAAGATCTACCAAACCTTCCATTTATAGAATGGCACCGATATTATAACATTCTTTAAATTCGTTCCCGCCCCTGTTTGCCCGTCCCCCTTTTTTCTTCGCCTACATTTACTCTTGTCTTCCCTTCAGTTTCCACCTTTATAGTTTTATGAGCATCTCACTTTTCCCTACCCCCCGGAATTTTCCCGCTTTCGGGGCTTTTTTCTCACTCCCTTCTCGAAAGCTCAAAGCCTCGTGCTTCCCCCTCTCTTTTTTTGATCACTTCCACTCCCCTTCTCATCCACCCGGTACACAATGGATCTAAAAACTTCAGAGGCGTCGGATTCCACAGTGTTTCCGAAGCGTCGTACGGGGGGATTTACTATCTTTACTAGCATTTTTCTGCTGAACTGTATGCCTTCTTTTTAGCACTTATTCGTATCGCTCATGCCTGTTTCATCTTTTTTAGTATCCAACTCCCTTAGGCCTACGGCTATACAAAATTTTTATACATCTCATCCCCCAGTTCCCGATCCAACTTTGGGTACCCTATCTCTACCAAACAAAAGAAAAATTTTTTTTTTGTTGGGTCCCTAGTCATGTCGACGTACAGGGCAATAAAAGGCAGACACTGCTGCGCGGCAGCAGTACATGACCTACCAATTTTCCATCGAGGGGGTTTCCCTTTCTGGACATTTTGTTGCAATAGCTACCCACCTTTGCACCCGTTGGGAAAAACGTTGGTCAACCTGCTCGGTAACAAACTTCATTCTATTTAAAACCAGCATAGGTTCGGCCCTTTTGTCATCATGCCAGGTTGGGGGAAAACCCCCTCTCCCGCCTTTGCATTGGGCCCCACCCTTACCAGGGGATCTCAGGAAGGCACCCGTTCCTCTCTGGAGAGTGTCAAGTTCCAGTATCGATTACCACATTCTGTAGACTGCCCTCTCTATCAACGAGCAGCAGAATTTTCCTCCAACCGCTTCTTCTACACTCTCTCTTTTCCTTCCCCTTCTGCGAGACCCCCCCTTTAAACCTGACTCCTCATTTACTTTTTACAACGATATTACTCCACAAACTCTGATGAACTTTTCGCACTCCCCTCAGCCCTTTTTATTCAGTCTCTTGTGCCCTTTACCTTTCACCATCCACTGCCCCGCTGTTTTTTCCTAACCATTCTCATCCTCTCCCCTTTTTCCACCTATGCCCCCGCTTCCTTCCTGCCCTGCAGCGCGTATAGTCCTTGTGGCTTAGCGCTTCTTTTTGATTATAATAATAATAATAATGGTTATTATAATGTAGACTGGGTGGCTCATATCTGGCCTAACAAGCACAATTGTTACAGGCATGGAAGTGCTAAACCCATAGGGATCGTAGTACCTGGGAAACAGAAGGCATTCCAGCTAGTACATCAGAGAAATTTGCACAGTTCCTTACCTAGAGCTACTCATCAGCATCAAGGAACCTCACTTTTATTTTTTTTATCAACACATCGGCTGACTCCCACCAAGGCAGGGTGGCCCAAAAAAGAATTTCATCACCATTCCCTCCATCACTCTGGCCAAAGGGGTGCTTTACACTAGTTATAAAACTGCAACATTAACACCCTTCCTTCAGAGGGGTGTTGAACAATCATAGCAAGGCTTTACAATACTTTTAACAATTCTAGAATCCTGGCACGAGTGCATGTCAGCACCATCTAATTTGCTTGCTTGCTTTTGATGGGTTTAATAAGATTTCTGGTAAAAAACATTCTTTAACCCAATAAATACTGTTTTACATTCCTCCCCTTGAAACTAACATTGCCTGTTACCTGTTGTACATAGGATGGCCTGTGTAGCACAAGCCATTGCCTGCCAATCAATTGCCTACCCTCCTTATATTGAGCCATCCTGAACCTCCAGGCACTATAAACTACCCCTCCCCTTCCAGTTTAATGCTTTCATGTGAATACAGAACCTTTGCAAGGCTTAAGGGCTAATCTGAAAAATTAATTTTTTTAATTATTATTATAATCAAAAAGAAGCGCTAAGCCAATTAATTTTTTTTTTAAGTTCCAGTATGAGCCTTGTGGGTTTAGCACTTAGTTTTGATTATAATAATTCCCAATGCTTCCTCTTAGCCTTGCTTATAGGGATTACTGAACTTTCCTACGAGTTAGATTTCATCATTAGTCCTGTTTTAACTAGGCTTCCATTGGTAGTCACTCCATCCACTGGAAATTAGATCATGGAGTATGTCAAAGTCCCTAAGATATCAATCTGGCAAGTAAGGGTGTTCCTTCGAGGAATGGGACCTGATTTCTTTGGTTTGAACGGCTTCCCATTGCTGCTCTCCCCCCCCCCCACCCCGTATTGACTCCTATGCAACTGGCAGTCTTTGATGCAGATGTCCACTGAAAATGGGAACTGTGTTGTTGCACCCATGCTAACTCTTAAATATAACTGCTGTAGAACCCACAGGTTTTTTTTTTTAGTACTTCCCCCATGAATGTACCCTAGTGACTGAACTCTACGGAGATGCCTACGAAAGGTTTATCGAAGCAATTTGAACCACCCTCATCCTTGGGTTGTATGGGACTGCTCATTAGCACTCCAGAAATTAGTGTTTCCTGTTGGAGACAAGAGTTTATGGCAAGTACTTTTTTTTTTTTTTAATTGCATTGCAATGTCCAGCTGGAATCTTCCCAGTGTGCTTACCGAAGCCCACAGGGGGTTTTACAGCATCTGGGAAATGCAATTGTTTTTGGAGAATTGAAGGTACTGTACAATTGGGTTTGATCAGATAGGGGTAGGTAGCTCCAATTTTTTGGGAGACCTTCACTAATCTCAGAGCACATCCCTTTTCCTCCTCCTCCCTCTGAAGGCTGCTTGGAGGTTTGACTTATCATTCCCAGCTTGACAAGTTTCCAAATTAGTTTTTAATACGGTTATGCAGTATATGTAAAACACTAAACCCGTAAGTCATTCAGTGCTACTTGTCAAATATGGAAGAGAATTATTACATTAATGGAATTAGAGCCCCTCACCAGCATCAAGGAACTTTCCTTGAAGGGTTTGGTTCAGTGTTCCTGAAATGTGCTGATAAGATCTACCCTTAGTGGAGAGGGAGAATTTTTTTTACATACGTATATACATGTTTAGCACTCCCCAGGGAGAATGAGAAAGATTTGATCCAAGGAAGGGGAGGAAAATTCCTTGAATTGATACACTTGCTGGCATACCCCTTTGGGGCAAACCTTACACCCTATACACAGTAAAGAACTCGGTTATGCTTGCCAATTATAATCATGGGGGGGAGTGCTAAACCCATAGGATTATACAGCTCATGGGGGGGGGGAAGGTAGGTATTCAGGCTTAATTCAGGGTACTGGAGCACAGATCCAATTCCCTAGATCAAGAACCCCTCACCAGCATCAAGGAACCCCCTTGAGGGAAATACAGTACTTGCCGAGATGCTGAAAAGTGTGAATTACGCACTTGTGCACCCATTGAAAGTAACAAAAGCTCTGAAATGAAGAATTATTGCAATAAAAACCAAGTGCTGAACCCACAAGGGTCATACAGCATGACAATTTTTTTACAACTTCACCACTTACTGTTGTACTGTTAAAAACCACAAGGGTCAAACAGGTTCAATTCCTTGGATAATTATTTAGGGAAAAGTACTAAACATAGGGTTCATACAACATGAATGGGAACTGTATGTTGCATCATTATTATAATCATGGGGGAGTGCTAAACCCAGATGGTTATAAAGCACCTGTGGGGGAGATGTGAAAGGTATTCAGACTTAATTCAGGGAACTGGAGCACATCCAATTCCCTAGATCAAGAGCCCCTCACCAGCATCAAGGAACCTTCCTTGAGGAGCACACTAGCATCAAAACACCTCCTTTGAGGGAAGGGCTCATTCAGCACCTGAGAGATAATCAGGTCTGATCAAAGGGAGGGCAGATCCAATTCCTGTAAGGAACCTTCCTCAAGGGGTTGTAAAAAAAAAAAAAAACCAGCATCAAGGTGCCCCTTGTAAAAATAAAATGTGGATCATTACTATACTTATAGGGCCCTTTTCGATTTCATTTAAGGAAGAACATTAAATCCAAAAGTGTCAGTGATGGGGGCATGGGAAGCAATTAAGTTTAATCCAATGGGAGGACAAACCAATTTCTGGGATCAAAAGTGACCCTTAGGGGTTTAGTGCTCCCATGAATAATTTGATCAAATTGTCTTTCAACATCAAGGAACCTTCTGCCAAGGCAGAGGGACCCAAAGAAGGAAACATTGTAAAAAGTGTGCTGACATCACAATTCATATTAATCCTCTAACTGCAGCATCACCACCTCTCTCAGAGAATGTAGGATAGGCTCTAGAACACAAACAATTTACAATTTATTAGTCACATTTTATACAAGTGTACTAAAAACACATGCAGAGCATTTACATTGATTGGGTCTGAAGCTGTAGATTTTTTCTAGATTAATGCCCTCCTGCTGCCTTCTCCTTTGCTGCCTTTTCTGCAAACTTAGCTACATTGGCAGGAGAACATGCTGAGGGAGAAGAAATAAAAAAGTTAACTGTCTAAATGGTACTATAGAAAAAGAATAATAAATGCATGAGAAAAAAAATAGGAGCACCAGATATAATTTCATGTGCTATTGTAATATAGTAATCAACTAACACCTACATAACACTGTGCAAGGTTTTAATATTACAGCATTAATATTCTTGTGAGCACTTGGAATTTGGAGTCCAAATTTCTTGGATAGCAAGCTTGCCAAATTTGTTCTAGCATCCAAATTTTGATACCCAAGGACATTTACTTGCAAACCTATAGCACAGCCAAAGGTTTACCATACAAATATTTCTCTTGTCAAATACACTTAAAAATTTAAAAGCTTTCTTTTATAAATAACTGCAAGTTTTCATTTAACATATTGCTTATTCTGTGTCCTTGGGGTTATCTAGAATAGAATAATAAAGAACTATGTATGAATTAAAGTAACACAATAATTGCATTCATGAGAGCACTAAGCCCATAGGGTTATAAGAGTGCCTGAAGAAATGGGAGGCAATCATATTTTATTCAAGAGGCATTCAGGTCAAATTCTTTGGATCAAGAGCCCCTCAATGGTCTCAAAAATTTCTTAAGGAAATCCATGTTTTTGCTTTATGTAATGTTCATGTATGCATCATGGGGACAGGAATGCATAACTCATGGGACACCTGTACCAAACTGTCTTTCCTTAAATGTTTTCAGCGACTCTTCCATACACACTCAACAAACTTGTTTGCCTACAATTCTTACATTCTTGTCCTTTCTCCTTTAAGAAAGTATGAATAGTCTCTGGTAGGAAGAGCCACCAGTGAGATGGAGAAATAGGCTAATGATCGGTATCCAATGCAAGAAACACTGAGGGGTGTATCTAGCCCCTTCTGAATAATATCCAGTACAATACTACAACATTAGGTTAAGAGTAAAGTGACATCTGAACTACAGTACCCAAATAGTATTACTTAAATCAACATTTATGTTTGCCTATATGCACCAAATACAAAATCCTGCAAGAACATTTATCTGGAAGAATGTATACTCAGTCCTTTAAGAGGGAGAACAAATGTCAAAAGTGATCATTATTTTGGTCAAAGTTTAACTAGGAATTAAAAAGTGAAAAGGAAACTTACCAAGTTTTTGGATCTTGTAGAATATAGGCATGCAAAGCACCACACTAAAAACATAATATCTGAAAGCCCATACATTCTTGTAGTAATATTTGTAGGGGAAGGAAAGAAACTTCGCAGTTATGGTATAGGGGTACTTCATGGTTCTTCCACTCATCTTGTTTGACTTGAAACGATCCACCAACTCTTCCAAATGGCTAGATGAAGCACTGAAAGTACAAAAGTATCAGTAAGTGCATAATGTGCATGTAAGGAAGGTTACACTGCCTACATGTCCACATCCTCAGGTTTATTAGGTACAGGACCAAAATATTACAATATAAGCTTAGGTAATTTGTAAGAAAAGGATGAGCCTATCGAACTCATAAATGCACAAGTTACAAACATCTCGAATTACTAATAAGGTTAAGAAATTATATTTAAAAACAACTGGTTTATGAACACTGATCTGCAGACAAATGAAGATAAAACGTGTGACAATTATTCTTTATTTCGAAGGAGAACAAGTTCTGCGTAAAAACTCTTATGATTAGGAACAACTCTCTCATCAGTTAGAAATCTCCTGTATTTTTAAAATATCAACAGAGATATGTGGAAAAAAGACTTATGTACAGTTCAGGATATTTATTAGAGGAAACATTTTGTTACGAGCGGCTCCTTCAGTTCTATGAAGCCACTCATGGCAAAACGTCTCCTCTAATAAATGTCCTGAACTGTACATAAGTGTCTTTTCTCACATCTTGTCAGTATCGCAGCACCATTTTTCAACAGATATACCTTTGAAGAGTTTTGAGAGTTTCTCGACTCTGAGCCTGGCCATGGGCCAGGCATATACGCATATTTTAATGTGCATCTAATAGGATGTGTTAACTGACCCCGGAGCCAAGATCATGGATGGCAGCACATTACTGCACACAATTTACAGTTCCGAGAACCCAGCTCATAGATGACAGCACAATAACGTACGAGTTGCAGATCCACGAATATGCTTGAATACAAAACACGACTGTCAGTGAAATCGCAAACTAAAAACTTATATATCAGTATGTATCCAAAATGTCCATTTCACTAACGTTACTAAAATGTACTCTTTTTGATTATAATAAATAATAATACTAAAATGTACAAAAAAAAAAAAATGACAAGAAATGAGTCAAGTTTGTACATGCACAGGATGAAGGTAAGCAATTTTCCATCATGGAAGAACCATTGCTTCTTTTCATAGTGCAAAACGAAAGAATTTTTTTAGTTATGATATATAACTCAGCTTCATTATTACTAAGCTAAATATCACCCATATGTATATAAATTATCATAATTTTGGAAACTCCTTCAAAATACCTTTTTGTATTCTATGGCTACTTAAATGAAACAAAAAATTCTCATTACTATACACAGTGGAACCTTGGTTTTCATATGCCCCAGCTGGAGAGAATTCTTGGAGAAAATTCTCTATAAAATGTAATTTTTTTAATGTTTTTTGGGCGTCTGGAACGGATCAATTGGTTCCATTCCAGACACCCAAAAAATATTAACAAAAAATACATTTTATAGAGAATTTTCTCCAAGAATTCTCTCCAACTGGGGTATACAAAAACCAAGGTTCCACTGTATATATACATGTACAGTGGACCCCTGGTTTACGATCAGCTCCCAATGCGACCAATTATGTAAGTGTATTTATGTAAGTGCATTTGTACGTGTATGTTTGGGAATCTGAAATGGACTAATCTAATTCACAATATTTCTTATGGGAACAAATTTGGTCAGTACTGGCACCTGAACATACTTCTGGAATGAAATAATATCGTAAACCGGGGGTCTACTGTATATACTGCACATATATTTTCTAACATTACAATTTGATAATGTACAATATAAAGGAAAAGTTAAATGGGGCAAGCTAAAAGATGTAGAAAATTTGTACAACAAAACATGATTAATCCCACCTCTTGATTTCACCTTTCTCAGCCATTGTCCTTGCAAGTCTGTAAGAAGTTACATAAGAACATAAGAACATAAGAACGAAGGAACACTGCAGAAGGCCTACTGGCCCATGCGAGGCAGGTCCAAGTCCCTACCGGCTTAAGCCAATGCACCCAACCTAGTCAGGTCAGGTCACATTGACTTAAGGGAGGAACACGGCAACCGACCTGTTAGCACAAGCTATCAGGTCCAACTCACACCCACCCACATCTACTCATGTATTTATCCAACCTATTTTTAAAGCTACACAACGTTCTGGCCTCTATAACGGTACTTGGGAGTTTGTTCCACTCATCCACAACTCTATTACCAAACCAGTACTTTCCTATATCCCTCCTGAATCTGAATTTTTCCAACTTAAAACCATTGCTGCGAGTCCTGTCTAGGCTAGATATTTTCAGCACACTATTTACATCCCCTTTATTTATTCCTGTCTTCCACTTATAAACCTCAATCATATCCCCCCTAATTCTACGTCTTTCTAGAGAGTGCAGTTTCAGGGCCCTTAGTCTATCCTCATAGGGAAGGTTTCTGATACATGGGATCATCTTTGTCATCCTCCTTTGTACATTTTCCAGAGAATTTATATCCATTCTGTAATACGGTGACCAAAACTGTGCAGCATAATCTAAATGAGGCCTAACCAAGGATGTATAGAGTTGAAGAACAACCTGAGGACTCCTATTATTTATGCTTCTCGATATGAAGCCAAGGATTCTATTAGCTTTATTGCGAACACTTATGCACTGTTGTCTTGGTTTCAGATTACTGCTAACCAGAACTCCTAAATCTTTTTCGCAATCCGTAATATTAAGATCTACATTATTTAGTTTATATGTGGCATGGTTATTGTCCTGTCCAACATTTAGAACTTTGCATTTGTCTATATTAAACTGCATCTGCCACTTCTTCCGACCACTGCATCAGTCTATTCAAATCTTCCTGGAGTGCTCGAATGTCCTCGTCAGAATGAATTCGACGGCCTATTTTGGTGTCATCGGCAAACTTGCCGATGTCGCTCTTTATGCCCTCATCTATGTCGTTTATGTAGAGTGTGAACAGCAGGGGGCCCAACACTGACCCCTGTGGAACACCGCTCGTGACGCTTCCCCACTCTGATTTCTCCCCATTTATGCAAACTCTCTGCTGCCTATTTGTCAACCATGCCTCTATCCAGGAAAAAATTTCTCCTCCTATTCCATGTGCTTTAATTTTCCTCAATAGTCTCTGATGTGGGACCCTGTCAAAAGCCTTACTGAAGTCCATATACACAATATCATATTCATTACCATGATCTACCTCCTCAAATACCTTAGTGAAAAAAGTTAATAAATTCGTAAGGCAGGAACGCCCCTTTGTAAAACCATGCTGAGATTCGTTGATTAATTTATGCTTTTCAAGGTGGCTACGAACTGCCTCGGCAATTATTGATTCCATAAATTTTCCCACTATGGAGGTTAGGCTTATTGGTCTATAGTTCGAAGCTAAGGACCTGTCACCTGTTTTGAAAATAGGTATCACATTTGCCATTTTCCACTTATCTGGCACCATGCCAGTTTGTAGTGATATGTTGAAAAGATTAGCCAAAGGTGTGCTAAGCTCCTCTTTACATTCCTTTAGAACCCTTGCATACAGTTCATCAGGGCCTGGGGATTTGTTAGGTTTTAATTTATCTATTTGCCTAAGGACCATGTCACTTGTGACCCTAATAGTGCACAGTTTATTATCGTCCTGTTCTACATAATTTATCATTACTGGAATATCGCTGGTATCCTCCTGTGTAAAAACTGAGAGGAAGTATGTGTTAAAAATTCTACACATTTCCTTATCACTGTCAGTGAGCTGACCCGAGGAACTTTTGAGTGGGCCTATCTTGTCCCTGATCTTACTTCTGTATACCTGTTACAAAACAGTTTTAACCACAAAGTTATAACTGCACTTGTCTTCCAATGCAAGATGTACACACACACTTCAACTATTTAAAAGCTTATGGAAAACACTGTACAGATGCTATATATTATTACTGTTAATATATTCACAAGCAATAAATCCAAATGGAGGGGCTATGTATATCTCTGTAGAGAGCTGAACGTAAGCAAATGATAAAAATCTGTTATTTTATATACATATATGTACTGTATAATATACAAATGTTAATGATATGCAGGAAAATGTTTATTTTGCATGACACATGAATAGTTTAACTAAAATTAGAGACAGTGGATTATGCACTACCGTGATGTTTGCACTGACTTGAATCTGATTTGCCTTATACCTGGTTCGTATTAAAATATATCTGTTTTGTTAGAGCTGCAGTCTGCTATAAAAAAAAATTAGCAGTTTTATGCTATTGTACTCTGAGATAAAGGTGAATATTTGAGTTATTCTTGTTCTTTACTTAAGCAACCCATAATTACCGAGAAATTATAAACATGTACTTTGCATTTTAAATTTAATTACTGCAAATACAGTACATAACCACAGTAAATTATATTAAAACATCCACTAAAATTGCATGGGGTCAGTGCACACAAAAATGACTTAAGTTTATGTAGGTACAGGTATACATAGCGTATTTTACAGCAAACAAGTCGTTTCAGTGTCGAGGAAGCCCTCCCCACCCCATTCTAATTGGCTAAATTTTACCAAATAAAGATCAACTGTATTTTGGCCTCCAATATGCCAGGTAAATTTTTGAGACTCATTTTGGGAAAAAATAGCGTCTGTGATGCTGTAAAATATAATAAATACAATTATCATGCATAGTAACACGTGTAAATTACCGAGGATAACACAAAAAAGTCAAAGTAACTTTTCCACTGGGGTCGTGGAAAGCTGAATTAAAAAAAAACATATATTATGTACAATCCGGCTTCTGTAGCTACAAAAAATTACTTTGTGAAGTAATTAATAAACTCCCGGAGTTACTTAGGTTTAAGGTTTAAATAATAAGATATTACAAGGACCCCAATGGAAGTAGGTCATTTTGACTTTTTGGGGGTTATGCTGGTGAGTGATTTACACATGTTACTGTAATTGTATTTATGTGTAGCTGTGGCTAAATAAACTTACTTAAAACAAAGTTGTAACCCAACCAGTTACTGGCCACACCCGAAGGTTCTTAACCTGACGGGAGGAATCAAGACAGTGTAGACACACCTCACCCACACATACATACACTGCATCATAATTTTAAACTCTGACTTACATTAAAGCTCACAAAACTTCCCTTAAAGCTGAAAAAAACAAAACAGATCAATAGACAGCATCAGCTGATCATCTGCCGCCGGACACAACCTTTAAATTTTGACTTTTTAAACCACGAAAAATTAACCCATGCGACACTCAGGAGGGCTGACGACAGCCTCCTCCTTCACCACTAACAATATCATTCTACAATACAAGTTAACTCAAGAGTTAATACGTTAAAATAGACTATAATTAAAGGTGTCTAGCCTAACCTGTCCGGCGTCTGGCTGGCTGGTTCACTTCTCAGCCGCCAGATGTCACCACCACCAACACTGACGCAAACATCGTACAATATTAAATTAATGTTGTACCTTTGTACTCGCCTGGTTGTGGTTGCGAGGGTCGATTCATAGCTCCTGGCCCCGCCTCTTCATTGATCGCTACTATGTCCTCTCTCTCCCTGCTCCATGAGTTTTATCATACCTCGTCTTAAAACTACATATGGTTCCTGCCTCCGCTACATCACTTGCCAGACTATTCCACTTACTAACAACTCTATGACTAAAGAAATACTTCCTAACATCTCTTTGACTCGTCTGAGTCTTCAACTTCCAACTGTGTCCCCTTGTTGCTGTGTCCCATCTCTGGAACATCCTGTCTCTGTTCACCTTGTCTATTCCTCGCAGCATTTTGTATGTCGTGTTAAGTAAACAATTAAGTTTATTTAGGTATATACATATACAGTTACATACAATATACATAACAGCATATGTGTAAAGAACCTGGAATAACCAGGTAACCCAAGAAAGTCAGTCAGAGTGACTTATTTCCAATGGGTTTTTGTGATAATTACTTATATTTAAAAGTTAAAAACAGGCGAGTATCTTATCTTTGTGAAAACAGTTATGATATAAGAAGATATACAAGAAGTGAGGTAAAATTAGTTATTTTCATACAAGAAATGACTCTCCTTCCTTTCTATGTTAAGTAAGTCATGTCAAGTCAAGTCAAGTCAAGTCAAGTCAAGTCAAGTCAAGTCAAGTCAAGTCAAGTCAAGTCAAGTCAAGTCAAGTCAAGTCAAGTCAAGTCAAGTCAAGTCAAGTCATGTCAAGTCAAGTCAAGTCAAGTCAAGTAAGACTCAGGGGAGAACTGTTCCCATGAGAGGATCTTCATGGATTTCCTGCTCTATTTCTGCAACACTGCAAGCTCCTGATGATGTGTTGATTGCCACACGAAAGGCCTCTGATTATTTTGCATCTTGTATCGCTCTTTCGTGGTTATAAAGCTTCTCACAATCAGTGTCCAGAATATCTTGCTGTCAATTTTGTTAAGTCTGGGAACCAGAGCAATAACAGTACCAGGGGAAGGGAGAGCAACTTTGCAGTGCCCACAGTCAGTGGTCAGGCATCAAACACATGTTATTGTACAGCAATAAAGGAGTGAAATAGACTACCTGCATATGTCAAAGCCCGTCATAGCATAAGCCAATACAAGAGAGCCATAAAGGTACCTAATGAACATGACTACAGAAAGGGAGGAGAGTGATTTCTTGTATAATTAACATATGTGTACTTATTCCCCATAATGTGATCCTAGCAAGTAAGTAAGTAAGTGAGTAAGTAAGTAAGTAAGTAGGTAAGTTTATTTAGGTATACATAAACACAGTTACATAGGTTATCATATATTATCATAGCAGTATATGTGTAGAGAACCTGGGATAACCCAGAAAAGTCAGTGACTTATTTGGGGTCCTATCTTTGATGTTAATGGAAATAACTGAATTTATCTTATCCCTAGTATATCTTTTATTATAAATACTTTTAACATAGTTAAATTACATACCTGTTATAACTTTTAAATATAAAGAATACTTATCACAGACCACAGTGGAAATAAGTCACTTTGTCTGACTTTTTTCATTGGATTATCCTAGGTAATTTACACATATTTTGAACTATGCATTATAAATGTAATTTATGTTTACTTGTACCTAAATAAACTTAATAAATTATTAATTAACCAAAAAATCCAGATATCAGACTGTATGATATTTATTATACATCAGCCAGACTCATTAGAAGATGACACACCTTCCTAATATAATGAAAAATCATTCATATACATTCATTAATCGATTTCACTTTAATGAGAAGTATATAACAAACTCTAAAAAAATAAAGACAGAAGCACAGAATTGCAAATTAATCGGAAATAAAATTTTATTCCAAAGGTGGAGTCCCTGAGTTGTGTGACACCAAAACATTGCCGAGTTGGCAAGAGTTGAACCTTGTGTTATTTTGCCCAGGAAATACCCAGAGGAGCACTTTCCTGCTGCTGGTGCCGTGGTATCATGTAGTGACCACCTGACGAAGCTCTGCGTCAGCACAATAATCATGTCTTGGATAGGAGTGAATCTCAACGATAGACTTAGCTCACTGAAGGGCCAGCTGGCTAACCTGACGAGGGAGGTGCTGGCTGAGGGACTGGAAGATGTGGAAGGTGTGTGGGCAGTGCTGCTGGGGAAGGGCAGGGCTGTTGGGGAAGGGCAGGGCTGTTGGGGGAGGGTTGGTCTCTGGATGGTGTGGGCAAGGCTGCTGGGGTAGGGGCCAGGCTGCTCGGGGAGGGGCTGGGCTCCTGGGGAAGGCAGGGCTGCTGGGGGAGAGGAAGGACTGCTGGGGAAGGGGCAAGGCTGGTGGGGGAGGGAAGGGATGCTGGGGAGGTTGGTGTTAGTAGGGCTGCTGGGGGAGGGGCTGGGCTGCTAGGGGATACGAAGGGCTGCTGGAAAGGGTCAGGGCTTCTGGTAGAGGGGTACAGCTGCTGGGGAGGGGCAGTGCTGCTGGGGTAGGGTTGATGCCTGGGTGATGCGGGAAGTGCATCAAGGTGATGGATGATGAAGCATTGTGTGGTGCAGGCAGGGCATCAGGAAGATGGATGATGAAGCACTGGGTGGTAAAGGCAGGGCATCAGGAAGATGGATGATGAAAAACTGGGTGGTAAAGGCAGGGCATCAGGAAGATGGATGATGAAAAACTGGGTGGTGAAGGCAGGGCATCAGGAAGATGGATGATAAAACACTGGGTGGTGAAGGCAGGCATCAGGAAGATGGATGATGAAAAAACTGGTGGTAAAGGCAGGGCATCAGGGAAGATGGATGATGAAACACTGGGTGGTGAAGGCAGGGCATCAGGAAGATGGATGATAAAACACTGGGTGGTGAAGGCAGGGCATCAGGAAGATGGATGATGAAACACTGGGTGGTAAAGGCAGGGCATCAGGAAGATGGATGATGAAGCACTGGGTGGTGAAGGCAGGGCATCAGGAAGATGGATGATGAAACACTGGGTGGTAAAGGCAGGGCATCAGGAAGATGGATGATGAAGCACTGGGTGGTGAAGGCAGGGCATCAGGAAAATGGATGATGAAGCACTGGGTGGTGAAGGCAAGGCATCAGGAAGATGGATGATGAAGCACTGGGTGGTGAAGGCAGGGCATCAGGAAGATGGATGATGAAAAACTGGGTGGTAAAGGCAGGGCATCAGGAAGATGGATGATGAAAAACTGGGTGGTGAAGGCAGGGCATCAGGAAGATGGATGATGAAAAACTGGGTGGTAAAGGCAGGGCATCAGGAAAATGGATGATGAAGCACTGGGTGGTGAAGGCAGGGCATCAGGAAAATGGATGATGAAGCACTGGGTGGTGAAGGCAGGGCATCAGGAAGATGGATGATGAAGCACTGGGTGGTGAAGGCAAGGCATCAGGAAGATGGATGATGAAGCACTAAGCACTGGGTGGTGAAATCAGGGCATCAGGAAAATGGATGATAAAACACTGGGTGGTGAAGGCAAGGCATCAGGAAAATGGATGATAAAACACTGGGTGGTGAAGGCATGGCATCAGGAAGATGGATGATGAAGCACTAAGCACTGGGTGGTGAAGGCAGGGCATCAGGAAGATGGATGATGAAACACTGGGTGGTAAAGGCAGGGCATCAGGAAGATGGATGATGAAGCACTGGGTGGTGAAGGCAGGGCATCAGGAAAATGGATGATGAAGCACTGGGTGGTGAAGGCAAGGCATCAGGAAGATGGATGATGAAGCACTAAGCACTGGGTGGTGAAGGCAGGGCATCAGGAAGATGGATGATGAAACACTGGGTGGTGAAGGCAGGGCATCAGGAAGATGGATGATGAAGCACTGGGTGGTGAAGGCAGGGCATCAGGAAAATGGATGATAAAACACTGGGTGGTGAAGGCATGGCATCAGGAAGATGGATGATGAAGCACTAAGCACTGGGTGGTGAAGCAGGGCATCAGGAAGATGGATGATGAAACACTGGGTGGTGAAGGCAGGGCATCAGGAAGATGGATGATGAAACACTGGGTGGTGAAGGCAAGGCATCAGGAAGATGGATGATGAAACACTGGGTGGTGAAGGCAGGGCATCAGGAAGATGGATGATAAAACACTGGGTGGTAAAGGCAGGGCATCAGGAAGATGGATGATAAAACACTGGGTGGTAAAGGCAGGGCATCAGGAAGATGGATGATGAAGCACTAAGCACTGGGTGGTAAAGGTAGGGCATCAGGAAGATGGATGATGAAGCACTGGGTGGTGAAGGCAGGGCATCAGGAAGATGGATGATGAAGCACTAAGCACTAGGTGGTGTGGGCAAACTGAATGTGGCTTCAAACTAACACATGGTGCCAACTTTTATAGAATTATGATTCTACATTTTTACCCATCTTGCATGATGTGTTGTTTACAGGGCTTTCAAATATAATTTCAATGCACATATAGTACTGTACTTACACTTTTATATAGTATACTAGCACTGTATGTCCATTTGTATTGACTCATTTTACAGTTTGTCAAGGTATTTACAGTTTACACCATGTTCAGTGTATATTTCTCTGAAGAGATGCTGTGGATGGAGGATCAAGCTTCCACCACTCCTTGTGCTGAATGACCCCACACAGGTTTGGCACATTATGAATTACAATGCAGTATAATGAAAGTAAGAGCTGCAAAAATCCCCCTTTTCATTACTTGTTACTTTTGGGTAATCCAATTGTTTAAACCGTTCAGTTGACGTACTGTCATTGGTTACAGATAATGGCACGCAAGTATTAGTGTCCACGGATCGCATGAAGGAGCTCGAAACTCTTTGCCAACTCCAGAAACATGAAGTAAGTTCTTTTAGTATAATCTCGATAACTGGATTTTAAAATGTGTTGAAAGCTCTGTATTATAAATGCCATTGTGTTATGTTCAGTATTGCAAAGTTTAGTGCAGTTTTTATTATTTTGTGTTATTACAGAAAAGAGCAAATGGAAGTACAGTACTATGTTAAATGCTTGTATATTTTAGAACAGATCATCGGCTCTTCTTTGTATACAGGAGGACCCCACTTTACAGGACTTCACTTTACAGTATTTTGCTAATTCAGCTGTTTTCAATTATCCCCATTCTTCATATATTCACACTTCCTGCAATAAATATATTCACCACTCACCATAAGCTGAGGATGAAAATATTTTAAGGTAAGCAATATGTGTACTGTATATGCATTTTTTAGGCCTACTTCTATTTCTCACTTAATATATGATAGTGTAAACATGTTATCAGGCCTTTATATGCTTTAGAAAGTGAAAAAAAGCTGTTTCACTTAACAATTATTTTTGCTTTACAACAGTAGCCCAGAACCTAACCTGCTGTATAACCGGGGCCCTCCTGTGTTAGGAAATTTTCTTTTAATGTGTTGTATTTACACTTTAATTATATTATGTGTGATGGCTGGAAGTAGTGTACTTATAGTATATCCTGGGTAGTAGGTTGGTAGACAGCAACCGTCCACGGAGGTACTACTGTCCTACCAAGTGAGTGCAAAACGAAAGCCTGTAATTGTTTTACATGATGTTAGGATTGCTGGTGTCTTTTTTCTGTCTCATAAACATGCAAGATTTCAGAGGCATCTTGCTACTTCTACTTACACTTAAATCACACTACACATGCATGTACAAGCATATACAGTGGACCCCCGGTTAACGATATTTTTTTCATTCCAGAAGTATGTTCAGGTGCCAGTACTGACCGAATTTGTTCCCATAAGGAATATTGTGAAGTAGATTAGTCCATTTCAGACCCCCAAACATACACGTACAAACGCACTTAAATACACTTACATAATTGGTCGCATTGGGAGGTGATCGTTAAGCGGGGGTCCACTGTATATACACACTCCTCTGGGTTTTCTTCTATTTTCTTACTAGTTCTTGTTTATTTCCTCTTATCTCCATGGGGAAATGGAACAGAATTCTTCCTCTGTAAGCCATACGTGTTGTAAAAGGCGACTAAAATGCTGGGAGCAAGGGGCTAGTAACCCCATCTCCTGTATATATTACTAAATTTAAAAGGAGAAGCTTTCATTTTTCTTTTTGGGCCACCCTGCCTCGGTGGGATATGGCCGGTTTGTTGAAAGAAGAATAATATATACACCTACCATCCGACTTACGACCTGCTCGACTTACGACCACTCTACTTACGACCATGTTTTTTATCTCAAATTTCTGGGAAATAAACAACTATTTGTGTTGTACACAGTGTTTATCCTAAACCTTACAGTATAAAATACAGTGCTAACAACATAAAAAGTAAAGTAAAACATGAAGTACCAAAATACAACAATAAAATAAAGTCATTACAGAAATGTTTTGTTGATATTCAGTAGTAAAGTTTGACTTACGACCATTTCGACTTACGAGCGGTTTCTCGGAACCGAACTCGGTCGTAAGTTGGATGGTAGGTGTATATACATATATAGTGTTGATAGATGAGTAAAGCTGTAACTAGGAAAATTAGCTTGATAAGTTGAGTAATGTGTAGTTATATATTGTTTGGAATATGCTTCCACATTGCACTACAGCCTTGCTCATTTTCTTTGCCTCCAGCCACACGGACACACTCAGGTAATGTGCCTTGTGCTGGCATGAGACTGAATATTTTGACTTAAAGCTTTGTATTTATAGAGTTCAGTCTCAGGCTGTTTAGAGAATGTTTTTTGACCAAATAGTTTAGAAATAAAGTATTTTTTTTCTTATGGTCAGCACTGTGTGATTTAGCTTTCACTGTGATGAACTTTTAACATCTCAAGACACTGTTTCACTTCATCCTTGACTATTATCAAATTTTGAGTGACTCAAGGCTGAAATGTTGTGGTGATATGAATGGTATAATTCAAAGAGAGGCTGATAATATAGATTGGTCATACAAAAGAATGAAACAAGATAAGTTCATTATGAGTTTGCATTAACCGTGGATACATAGTCAGGGGTGTAGGAGACATGTAGCCTAAATCTCTTTTTTAACACACCAGCTGTCTCCCACTGAGGTAGGGTGAACCAGCTGTCTCCCACTGAGGTAGGGTGACCCAGAAAAGAAGAAACACTTTCACCATCATTCATTTTATCACAGTCTTGCCATAGGTCCAGAGATATTGCAGTTTAGACACTCCTCCAAACTGCATATATTCCCACTCCTCCTCCAGAGTGCAGGCACTCTACTTCCCACTTCCAGGACTTAAGTCCAGCTATCTGGTTTCCCTGAATCCCTTCACAAAATGTTACATTGCTCACACTGCAACAGCTCATCAAATTCCGATAACCATTTGCCTCCACTCCTATCTAACACACTGACACACGTGCCTGCTGATGTCCAAGCCCCTCGTACACAAAAACCTCCTTTAATGTCTCCCTTGAACTTTTCCTAGGGCAAACCCTACCCAACCTTCCCTCCATTATAGATTTATTCTCCTTCCAAGTCATCCTGTTTTGCTCCATCCTCTCTAAATGCCCAAACCACCTCAACAACCCCTCCTCAGCCCTCTGGATAATACTTTTAGTAACTCTGCACCTCCTCCGAAGCTCCAAGCTATAATATCTATACCACCCATTTTCCTCAGACACGCCATCTCCACTGCCTCCAGCCTCCTCCTTGCTTCAACACTCTCACCCCATGCCTTACACCCATATAAGAGTGTTGGTACTACTATATGTACTCCCATACATTCTCCTTTTTGCCTCTATGGATAATATTCTTTGTCTCCACAAATGTCTTAATGCACTATCCACCTTTTTTTCCTCATTAATTCTGTGGTTCAGCATGTCTTTCATAGACCCATCCACCAACAAGTCCACTTCCAAATATCTTAACGCATTCACTTCCTCCCTACTCCCCCCTTCCAATCTTCCATTACCTAAATCATTTGTTGTCCTCATCATCTTGCTCTTTTCTATGTTGAAGAATTGAGACACTTATGAAACATATTGGAATCTTTATTGAAGAAACATTTCACCACACAGTGGCTTCATCAGTCCAATACAAAGAAATGGGTAAGAAGAGGAGGAGATTGAGGTAATCAGTTCCTCAGCCTGGAATCGATGTGTTCAGTCCATCACTCTTGTAGGAAATACAGCATAGGGCCAGAGAGGTGGCTTATATACTGCAGTCAGGTGAGTTGAAGCAGTCAGGAGTCGAAGCTTGTCCAACCTTTGGACGACGACCTACTTACACTAGTGGAAGGTCCCACTGTGATCCCACCTCCTCCTGCTTCAACTCATCTGGCTGCAGTATATAAGCCACCTCTTTGGCCCTATGCTGTACTTCCTACAAGAGTGATGGACTGAACACATTGATTCCAGGCTAAGGGACTGATTACCTCAATCTCCTCCTCTTCTTACCCATTTCTTCTTTGTATTGGGCTGATGAAGCCACTGTGTGGTGAAACGTTTCTTCAATGAAGATTCCCATATATTGCATAAGTGTCTCAATTCTTCAACTTGTCGGTTTTCAAAACCATTCATCACTTTTCTATGTTAACTCTTAATTTCCTTCTTATACATACCCGCCCAAATTCATCTACCAATCTTTGCAACTTCTCTTCAGAATCTCCCAGAAGTAGTGTCATTGGCAAAGTGCAACTGTGATAATTCCCACTTTGTATTAGATTCTGCATATTGTAATCCCACACCTCTTCCCAACACCTCAGCATTCACTTCTTTTACAACCTCCCAAGCATTTCGGATAAAGTATTCTGTACTGTAGGTTTTGCCTGTATTGAGAGTGAGTTTGTTGGTTATCATCCAAGTAGATATTTTTAGTAGTGCATCGTTAAGTGCCACTAAGCATACATAGTCAGGCTTGAGTGGGAGAAGGCATAAGTAGTGTCATCTGTGAATAGAACTGGTTTAAGGATATGAGATGCATTGGGGAGATCATTGATATAAATGAGAAAGAGCAGAAGGCCAAGGACACTGCCTTGGGGCACTCCTATGGCTATGGGCTGTGGATTAGGTTACATTGTTTGTGGAGACATACTAGTAACTATTGCTAATGTTCTAGTTTAAGGTGCAAGATATTGTGATCCACTGTATTGAATGCTTTCCACAGGTCTATGAAGAGTTCCATATTATATTAAAAGTGCTGCATATATCAGTTTGAGCATTTGTATAATTACATCATTCATACTTTTTTCTGCTTAAACCCAAACTGGTAGGGGGTTAAGTATGTATTATGTTTTTGAAGATTTTTAGATAGTAAGGGCAAGTTTGATGTAGGCCTATTGTTATTCACTTCAGTTGGATCACCTCCTTTGAGGATCGGGGTAACCCTTGCTATCTCGAGTATGGATGGGAAAGTTGAAGATTCTACTGATTTGTTAGAGTTGCCATACCCCCGGCCGGGATTGAACCCGCGGTCATAGTCTCAAAAGCCGGGGGTATGGTTTGTTTGCAATCGTGTCATTACGATTTCTTGAGTCTTGTTAGAGTTGCAATAGCGGGTGATGGCACATGAGCTGCTTTTTTGTACATGGGTGGTGGCAAATTATTTAGGTTTCCTGTCTTGTTTTTAGTGACTTTATGATGAGTGAGACTTCAGTAGGATTACTTTGAGCTAGGTATAGAGTGTTTGGGTAAATTCCAGTAGGGTAGCCTTTTGCCTAAAGTATTTGAGGTTGGGATTTTGCTAGCTAGTTTTGATCCTACAGTAGAGAAGAAAACACTGAGTTTGTTGGCAGTGTTTGCAGGCTGGATGTGTAGTTCATCAGGTTTAGTTAAGTTTATATCTGTTTCTGGGCAGTTTTCGAGAGCCCAGGATTTCAGAGAAGGTTTTCCCAGGTCTTTTTCATATCCCCTTTTATTTTTGTTAAATTTGCTTGCATGATACAGTTGTTTAGACTTATGTATTAGATTAGTAATTATTGACGTATATCGTTTTGTCTGTTCTTTTGTTATTAAGCCCAGTCTTTATCAATGGATTTGAGGATGCTATTTATAAGCCGTGGGCTGTTAGTCTCTTTGCTGTGATCTGTTTAATTTTAATTGAACAATGCCTGTTATAGAGGTTATGGTTTTTTGAAGAAAAATTTTGACTCATCAATATGATGGATGTCAGGTAACTCTGGGCCAGTCAATATCATCAATATGATGGATGTCAGGTAACTCTGGGCCAGTCAATATCATCAATATGATGGATGTCAGCTAACTCTGGGCCAGTCAATATCATCAATATCATGGATGTCAGCTAACTCTGGGCCAGTCAATATCATCAATATCATGGATGTCAGCTAACTCTGGGCCAGTCAATATCATCAATATCATGGATGTCAGCTAACTCTGGGCCAGTCAATATCATCATATCATGGATGTCAGCTAACTCTGGGCCAGTCAATATCATCAATATCATGGATGTCAGCTAACTCTGGGCCAGTCAATATCACTTAATGCTGAAATAAAGTTATTTACTGGTGACTTATCATGAAGACAAAATGAGATCTTACTAGTGTCTTGAGGCACTTTACATAAGTTGGTTATGAGGAAGATGAGGAAGGTGGGGTAGTGGTCTTGGGTGTTATGGTAAGTTACTATCCAGAGACAAGATGGACTGTTGAAAGAATACCAAGGAGTAGTGAAGGGGAAGATAATAAAGAGGAACACCTGGGTAACTTTACTGAGAGATGTTTGGCTTAAATCATTACAAAGGCCAGTGTTTTTATTTTTAGCACTGTCTTCTATGAGGATCAGAAATGGTAAAAGCACCAGGAGAGTGCCTTGGGGTATACCTGGAAAGTATTTCTGGGGTCAGTGCCCCAAGGTGGATCAGGGTCTGATCAACCAAGCTGTTACTACCAGTTGCAAACATTCCAACGTACAAACCACTGCCCAGCTGGTCAGGTGCTATACTTTTTACTTTGCTAAGACTAGATTTTATTTTTCTTATTTCTACTGTACTCTTTTTGTGTTCTGTTTGTTAGAAAGTTGAATATCCATATTCCTACTTTTCCCTGTTATACCTGTTGACTTTATTTTATGGGTTATCACTCCTTGATTGCATTTGTCAGATGCCTTACTGAAGTCCATGTAGACCATATGTGTGTTTTAGGATTTTTCCAGAGTGAAGAAGTGTTTTTTGAGGCAGTCAGAGTGAGGAAGTGTTATTGAGTCAGAGAAAAAGAGTGTTTTTGGGACAGTCAGAGCAAAGAAGTGTTTGTGGAGCAGTCAGAACAAGGAAGTGTTTATGGAGTGGTCAGAACAAGGAAGTGTTTGTGGTGCAGGCAGAACAAGGAAGTGTTTGTGGTGCAGGCAGAACAAGGAAGTGTTTGTGGTGCAGGCAGAACAAGGAAGTGTTTGTGGTGCAGGCAGAACAAGGAAGTGTTTGTGGTGCAGGCAGAACAAGGAAGTGTTTGTGGTGCAGGCAGAACAAGGAAGTGTTTGTGGTACAGGCAGAACAAAAAGAAAGAGTTTGTGGGGCAGAGTGGAGAAGTAACACACCTTTATAAGTAGAGGCGGTCATGTAGGTAGTGTGAACAATGATTCGAGTCTCCACCTCACACAAAGGTTAAAGTAGAAGGTAGTATTACTAATAGCAAGTGATGGTAAAACCTGGGGAATTAGTGTAGTTTCCCCTACAG